GTGCATACAGGCATCCGACTTGTGGATGTTCTCACCCGAGACTCCCCCACAAACTGAATGAGTGATTGACCGACTTGCTGAGCGGGAGTGCTCCGAATGAACTTACTCGGACCTTCGTAGGTGAATCGCTCTTCTATCGAGAAAAAATTATTGCAGAACCGATAGAGACCGTTCCCGAAAGCCAAACGAAAGACTGATCTGGTCAGACGGCTTTTCAGAGGAAACGGGAAAACAGAGCAAGACAGGGCGATACTCGCGGCCGCCAACTCGATCCGGTATTCCGCGCAAAACCCGATAGCTCGACGGCGAAAAGCGGCTGGCTAGACGATCGCTTCACCTCAAACCCAATTTACAAATTATCACTTCAAAAGCTTCCCCGAGCCGAGTCTCTGAGCGAGTATTCCAAGCGAGCCGGCTTTCTTTCATCCTCGGCTCCATTGTGGAGAGCGAAACAGGTCCAGAATCGCGGTGGCCAGACGAAAGTGCTGGGATAGGCACTTCCTCTGATTACAAATGGAATATATCTCGGAGTCGGTTTCTCATTGACTTTTCCCTCTGCGTACATCTTCCGGCGAGCGAGGGATCGAACGAACGACCGAATGCCGGCTCGTTCAATTCCCTGGAGCGAGTCGAGCAGGACCTCGCCATATCTCTAGGCTCGTCACGATTGTGTACTCTTTGAAAATGAGGGTTCCGAGCCACGGCGGGAGCCGGGACCTCTGCCTCTCTGAAACGCTCTACCTGTTTAGAGGTTGGCGTCCGACGGAACTATCACAGCCCTGCTGCTGATGAGAATTCCGGGATCGTCGCAGGTCGCAGCCATAAGGTTTCTCGACTCCCGCTTAAATCGCCGTGAGCCACCCGCCTGGTATGGAATCCATATGTGTGGAGCGAAGAAGACGAAAAAAGCAAGCGGACGTCCCGGTTCGCGAAGGAATCCCCGGAAGAAATTCAGTAGTAATTTCTAGAGCTCCTGCGACCGATGTTTTAGCGGACCGCGGTCCCCGGAGATTCCCTCGCGGTCCTCCGGAAATTCGTATAAAGTAATTTCCGATAGAGCATCCTACGGCTGCGATTTGCGAGACGCTCTCCGGAACTCGACTGGATTCTCCCTGGAAACTCCTGAAAGCGCGACATTTTCCGAAAGTCACAGAGCTCGAGCGAGTGCTCTCGTTCCGAAAGTACGGTCTGGCTTATCTCTATTCTCGCTCGAGCGCTGCTCTCATGCGAGCATCCTCGGAATAAACCCGGCGGGCGGCTTGTCGCTAAATCATCATACTGGTCGCTGCTGATTACCGCGGTGCTTCTGACGGACTCTCTCATTCATTCCGCCTTAAGGGAATGAAGGACGTCCGCTTTGATCTCAAGGACAAGATGGTTGTTCTTGACCCACGCAGGGCTTAACAGCCAGCTGTTACCCGACGTCTCGCGGATACGAGCCGGCCACGTTCGGCGTTCCCGAGCCTAATAAAAGCAGCATTGCATCAGGTGGATGGCGCTCTCAAAATCGGGGAATGCATCGTCTCTTCGCTCTGATCGATTAATCAGAGCTCGATCTCTTCCTTTCATTCGCTTCAAAAACGCAGGAAAAAAACGCGGGGAACGATTGCGGGAGGGTAATCTGAGGGAATCGAGATCCGACGGTAAAGTTCGTAGTACAGCTGACTCAGAACGACGAAAGCTCTTAACTCGAGCAATCTGCTCGGACATGGTAGGGGAAGCCGGCTGAGCAAATCGGACGAATTCGGAGGTACTCATATGTCAGGGACATTTTCGTTTCGAGTGCAGTAGACACGTAGGCCATCATTCATCCATGTGGACTCGATCGACGTAGACTTGCGTTATTATTGGTCGTTCCTCGAGAACCGACCACCCATTCGACGGACGGTCGGCCGGTCGGTCCGTATGTCCATCCGTTCCTTTGTCAGTCCGGCGATCGGAGTCTTGCGTGCGATCTGCTGTGCGGAACGAATCCGACGACGTGCGCTGACCTCACGGTCGCAGCGTCCCTCAGAATACGAGGAAAATCGGGATGATACGCCGGCTCAGGCGGCAAATCTGAAGCTTGGGACAGCGAAGCGCTCGCAGATCTTCCATCGATTTCCGATGATGAGTTCAGTAATCGCCGAATCTCTGACTGACTCCGTTGATCAACAAGGCTGGGGACGACAACATCTCCATCTCCGTCGATCTTCAGTTCGATGCGCGCTGAGGAAAAAGGAAAAGGATCGGGCGCCTTTCCGATCCTGGAGAGGAATTGATTCCGCCTCCGCTATAATTTCCATTTTCTACGCTCCCTCTGTAACCGACCGATAGGCATCCAGTCGCTGGGTACCAATTCGCGATACGAGGGAACCGGAATTGCAAAAGTCCTCATCCTTCAGAAGGAACAGGGGCTCTTTGTGACGCCATACTCCGTTCAGTCGCTCGCTGAACCGCCTAAGCGCAGCTGACTCGCTTGCTGGTTACGAGCCCGGAGTCGATACGGTCCCGTCACTCCTTACGAAAACTCTGACAAGACTCCCGAATTCAAAGAAGAAGTCTCTCGGGACACGTCCAGGGACGAAGGCTTGGGAATGAAGAACACCGCCCCACCGACCTGTCGACTGCACTGAACTCGGGACTAATCGGACTCCTGCCGCAACACGGCCGTCGTCGTGAACAGCCGCTAGGTCGCCGAAGTCAGGAGCTTACCTTATCGATACGTCCTTGACAACTCGTTCCCGAAAATCGACGGGCGCGGAACTGCCGAGTACCTACTCCACGCGGAGCAAAATTCCGTCGTTCTGACAGAGAGCGGGAAACTCCGGGGCCCACCGGTCGTTCGGCGCCGGCGGTAGCTCCCACCACAAGGTGGAATTCTCCCGATCCGTCTCAAGACCAGAAGTCATCGGATCGCAGATCACCAGAATCAGGAGTTTTTCTTCCCGATCAAGGATGCCTCTCTTCATCAGGCACATTCGGTCATTCGACCGGGGTTCCGGCCAATCTCAGAGAGCTAATTTTTCCCGTCATATTATGGAGTTCGATTTGGGCGGGGGGGGGGCGACTCATGAAGTCGCTTCATTTGCCAGTTCTGGAGTCCCGGTCTCGGAGACGAGGCACGTAAAGCACTTAGTATGCTGCGCACGCTTCTCGAGCGCCAACGACGGACCGAGTTCCTTTCTGGGCCCCCAGGGTAGAGCATGGCTTCGAACTCGGCCTCAACCTGATCAGCGGACTTCGAAACATCGTTCTCGGCTGGAACTGTCCCTAACCCGTGTCGCCCCCGAGCGAGCTTCGAGATGGTGCTCCCGAGATTGCTTCATAATCAAGCTCCATATCCGCGCTAAGGATTCTGGAAATGCCGATTATCGTACTATGTTCCTACGACTCCTCCCGATGCCATGACGGTGCCCGTCGCATTCCGAGCAGGATAGTTCTCATCTCGGCCCGAGGAGTGGATCAGCCTGAAACTTATCGGACTGCTCTACACTGATCTCTTGCGGTGATTGCTAAAGCCTGCTATCGATCGCACTCATCCACACCCGCGGGCTCGGCTCATTTTGACGAATCGGACGATTCCTGAATCCTGACGTTCAGATATCTGAGAGCGAGATCTCTCTCCGGGTCAATTTTTCTCATCTAGGGAAGTCAGTTGATTGGCGGACCGACTGAGAACAGCACATTCATCGACGAACCGCTGGTCGGCTCCACGGATTGACTGGCTGACGTTTTGCAACACTATGATGAAACCTTAGTAAATTCTATCCGAGTGCTCCCTCAGCGTGTGATACCCTTGGTACAGTCGGTCGCTCCCCGGGTCGTTTCTCTGCTCGGTGAGTTATCGCGGTCGCCGTTTAGCGACAGATCCACAGCGTGTTGAATGAATGCCCGGATAGAGAATTATGACACATCAGATGTAACCTCGCCGGCCACGATCTGAGTCGCGGAGATGAACGGAATTGATTCTTACGGGCGTCGTTCTCCCCCTCGAGCGATAATCGGAGATTCGAGCGATGAACTGCGCGCGGGAAGAGAAGGAACAGACCTTCAACCATGATTCCAGGATTCGATCTCTGGGCCAAGCGATCGTCGTACTGAATAAGATAGCCGGTCCGTTCTTGGAAGCCTGTGACTCATCAATTCATTGCGAGGATGTTGCTCGCTTGCGGCCGATCCGGATCCCAGTGACCGGACAGGTTAGGCCGGTGAACAATCTTTATGACTCCATAGGTGTTATTAAAATCAGGTGAGCGTACTTTTATAGGTGTTCGTCTCACACACATGGAGATTCTTCGGAAGCTAAAAAGACCGGAGTTGAGGAGCTGTATCAGATGAGCGAGAAACAACCATCGCATGAACGATGGACCCAACGTGCACTCAGAGGCGCAGCCAGATACCGGGCCCGCCGTTCCCCGAATGCGAATCGACGTCTGTAGATGTAGGCAAGCAGACAAGGAGGCAGACTCACCAAGTGCCTATCTCAAAGGTCGTCCCGAACACGCCGCGGAGTATCCGGCAATGCCGGTGAGGTTATGGCCGGCTGGCAGGCTGACCGACCGAGCGACCGACCGACGAAACGGCCGGCCGGCTGGCAGATACATGTACCCCTTCTAGATCGAGGCCGCGATCTCACATATGACCGCTCGTTTTAGATAGGCTCAACTTGTTTGAAGGAAAACCGAAGAGCAAGCCACGAACAGGCCGCGTAGATATCGGACGTCGTCCAAGCATCTATCAGAGCGTTCGCAAGGACGGCACGACGTTTAGGAGCGGCTGTCGATTCAGCATCAGCTCAGCTCTCGTCTGGCAGCAGAACCCCTCTAAGAGCTATAGTCTCATTCGATTTTCCATAAACGATGCTTGCGACGATGGTTCCGGACCCTAGGCGCTCCTTTGGAGGGATTCGCCTTTCAGAGGGCGAGTGATGATTCAAACATTTTTTCCGGTATCTCCTGTGGAATCACTCCAGTGAACTCTTCTTAGTCTAGCGAATTGGAGCAGATAGGCTAACTTACTTTCCGACGGCTTTCCCTGGTTCGCAGTCGTAAGCCAGGAGCTGTAGTCGATAGTACCTCTGGAGCTCACAGTTTGGCTCCTTGGTAGGAATGATTTTGGGCTCTGACGGTTCCTTGTCGTCGATGGTGAAAGGTGGGTCGTCTTCCCGACCGGATGCGTGTTCCCACGTCAAATCGAACGAACAAGCTTGTCCGCTGACCTGAATCGGCGGCATCACAGTCACGGATTTAGTATTTTCCATGATGAGAGCATGGTAGCCCTTTTGCGCGATCTCCACGGCTGAAAGGAGGAAGTTATACGTCAATAATAATCTTCACTCGACATATCGAGGGGCGAAACCCGACAGGGAAATCTCTCGGAGGGCTGAACCCGTCGGCGTCGTTTGAAGAGCTATGGGAGAAGCTCGGGAGAATCCGAGGAGGAGTTATTATTTGAGTTGAGAGCATCAGCTCCGGGCTGGAGAAAGTTTCGAAAGATCTCGGTCTGAGCGAAGCGTCTGGGAACGCGAATCATTCGTGCGTTCGATTAATTATCAGTCGACTTTCCGAAAATCCTGTTCGGCCACATTGTCGTCAATTATGCGCAAACTCATGACATGTTTCAGGTGACTAATGGTAAAAAAACGAAACGGCTTGACGAGCGGCTCGTGGAATAATGTTGTCCGTCGCGGCCTTGATAACGATGATGGCCACAATACCACAATCGTTGATTATGTGGTTGCCGTACGGGAATCGGCGGGAAAGAACGAGCATAATCCGAAGAAGATTTGAATGGAGCGCGCGAGAGCTTGCCCGTAGGGCTCCGCTCTGAGCTCAACGGGCTCGCGGCACGCGATCCAACCGCTGCTCGGAATGGGGTCCAGCTGTCTACGACCTCCGTCGGAAATCAGTGGGCGTTATGTACGCATTTTCGTTTCGCGTCCTCCCCCATATACGGTATTATCACGGGGCGCGGAGCGACGCCGAGTGAGACTCTGGGATCACGGCCGACTCCCGTCACCGAAAACAAAGGGGGGAGGAGCATTCCGTGTGAAGGAGAAAATCCTCGAACGTACTGCATGGTGGGATCGGGGAGCTCCGGATGCCGGAAGATTTCGGTAGATTCCGGGGGAAAAACGTTCCTTGTTCCTCGGAATCATTCGTGGGAGACGGAAACAAGTTGGAGCGAGCCTTTGTCGTTTCCGTTGATGGGCGGAATCAAGGTCGTTTTCTAATGAAAACGTCGCCGGTAAAATGGATGAGGTGAGAAGGATTTCTCCTAATTAGTGTGTTATCACTTCCGAGAGTAAAACCGGCTTGGAGCTCGAACGAGCAGAAACCCATCCAAACGTTCGTTCGCACCCCTGCTCCCGCTCGCAGACAGATGCTCACGGCGACGCACCCTCAAATGAGTACCTACCCCAACCCCCTCGGAGGTCCCTTGTCAACGACACCAGCGAGCCGCGACTCTGTTGGAACTTCAACCTGCATGAGAGAGTTTAGACCTCTAGCAGCAATCGCGACTCAATCAAGCTCATTACGGGAGGCCGCTATGCCACGTTCATCCGCAAGTTGTTGTTGCCATCGCTGAGCTTCAATGGAGCTATTTTCTTCCTTTTTTCTCCTCTCATCCCGAATCCGTCCCGAGGCAGCGCGTGCCAGAAACAGATTAGGCGTCGGCTGCTGAATCGCCATGAGTTCGAGCGGAAATCCGAGCAAGTTTCGCAAGCTGCGCAATAAGAGAACGTTTTTCCTACCCCCGCTGTCTTCCTCATGTCTGTTTTTCTCACAGCTCTTAGGCGTTTCATAATCTGCGGCAGGAATTATTTTCCGAGGCTGGCTTTTTACGTGCTCACAATGCAATGGATTCTGGCTTAATTGCGAAAGAGGGAGAGAGAGAGCAGGCACGTCACACTGAGGGAATAAAGTAGCTCAATAAAGTCACGCGAAACGTCGCTTAATCTAGGCCTCTTGCCTGAGAGTGCCCGAGATATCGCTTCATGTCGCTCTCGATTTTGACGAGACCGATTCTCTGAGTCGGAGCCTCCTTGAGACCTCGTAGGCGCTCGACGAATACTCCAGCGATGAGTGCTCTCGAGCCTATTCAAGACGAGTCGTTCGCGAAAGTTTCGCGTGGAGACAGTTCTCCTCGGCGAAACTCCCTCCGACAGAGTCGACGTGCTTACACACTCGGACTGTAGGTGCGTCCAGTCGGGAATGAGCCCTAATTCTCATGATGGGCGATAGGCGCCACGAGGAGCTCCTGGACCATGTCAGGAGCCGGCGGACTTTATGCAGACTCCGAGTGTATAGTTCAATTAGCGAAATGCTACACAAGTATTTGTTACGCCTCGCAAAACATTCCTCTCCTGGGAGGAGCTCTCCTCCTCCTCTCCGTCTCCTCTCCCTTGTCCTCATCATAAAAAACCGTGCAGACGACCTCTAGGCGCCGAGTCCTCGACAGTTACGGAGACGTCAACCCCGTCTCTGTTCATTTATCTGTCTCTGACAATTTACGATGGGAATCATCTTACCCATGAGATGGCTCATGGAATGCGCATAGTCACTGATGATGAAGAGAGGAAGCGGCGATATTGGATTCGGATAGCGATCCGATGTCTCACAGATTTGAAATACATATTCGTTGAGCTTGGCCGATAGACATGACGCCCACGTCCTTGGACCCGAGCGAGATTTCTTTCTTCACGAAAGAGGGGAAAAATTACGTAGCCAGGTGGGAGAGGGGCGAGGACCGGCTAGCCACGCGGAAATTTCTCCGGGCGGCGTCCGAGAGAAGGAATACGGAGTAATCATCTCGACACGGAGGAATATGCATGTCTCTGGCCCTCGGTGGGGAACGAGGGCTCCGAGAGGAGTGGACCAGCTGAGGAGCCGCCTTTCTGAGGACGAAATTATTCCACCGAATGGTAAGAGTGTTGCATGGTAGACCGGACGTCTTCGTTCGGTAACGAATGACGTTAATTAGCTCCGGGCCACACGTCGTCACACCCAACAACGCTGAGAAATCCTTGGTGAAATGGCCAAGAATGCCCGCCCACGTGTATGCGGGCTCGCAGGTGACGGGGGAGCGGCCACGCTTTGACTAGCCTGTCGGTTTGAATGAATGAATGCGCGGTAGAGTCTCATGCACTGGCCAGGCGAGTCGAGCGGGGTGAATCCATTGATTTGATCGCTTCGCTCCGGCGCGGCCCTCGCTCCGCTGAATTAACATTCAGCCCTAATTAGCACCGTTTTCGCTGTCAACTAGATGCGGAAAATCCGCCATCCAGGACTGACTGTCCTCACGAGAGGCGATTCAGATACTTTCCAGGGAAGCTCTCGAGCGTTCCGTACAGCTCCCTCGCTCCGTTCCTATGCCCGTCATTCGCTTCTCCGACCTCAATGGCGCCGGTGTCTGGCAGACGGAATCAAAGCTCCGAACGAGAGCTCGAGGGCTCTCGAGCGCTGACTAGACCAAGCGCGGCCGAACCTGAAACCTCTCGAAACCAATCTAGAAGCGTCATCTCTCCATTTTCTCTCGTGCGTACACCCGGCCGCGCGGAAATCGCAGAATTCAGCGATTTCGGTGGCCCGTTGGGTTTGTTGCTTGTTATCGGAACAGCTTCCATTTCTCGTTCCCGGGCGCGACAAAGTTCAAGCGCGTTCGTCGTCCACAGTCTGGACCAACGTATGTACCTTCATATACCGATTCGCCGCCCTTATTCTCCGAGTCAAGCTGGAGCCGTGGAATAACGCAGAAAGATTTTTTTCGGAAAGAGCGCAGAGACGATGACGCACGCAGAGTAGATCCTCAGGCGCTCAAGACGCTGCTTGGCAGGATAGGTTCGGCGGGAAACGTCGTGTTCCTGTCCCGAAAACACGATGTCAACGACATCGAAACCCTCCCTTTGCCTGCAGGCATCTCCGTGAGCAGCTAGCTCTACTCCTACGCTAGCGCTTGCTGCTGCTGCAGCGATAATGATTGACGGGGACGTTTCGGAGGAACGCGGTCGTGGAGTTGTCAGGTAACGGTACCGTTTTTGCGATGACGCTAAAAATCTCCGGATGCTTTCCTATAGGAACCTTCACACCTCTATCTCCGCCCCTTCCCTCTCTGTCTCCCGGTGATTGGAGTGCGCGGTATACCATCGCAACCACACCATTGCAACCTCCTCCCACCGGCACTTCGTCTTCCATTCGCGGAAAAAAAGGATACATGCGGATTATCGACGGACACCGGCTATCGCATCCGTTCCTCACATCTTCGTTGGTCCTTTCGTGGATCGTTCCGATCGAAACGAAAAGTCTCCGAGAAGAATTCTGAGTCTCCCTGAATGTTTCGCAGCTTATTTTGCAGCGTGACTCCCGAGCGCATCCGCAAAAGAAAATACAGACGAGCCCCCGATCGGAGAAAGCCGAATCAGAGCCTCGAATCTCCATATAATGAGGGCGGGGATAATCCTCTGTCGAGGGTGGTATTCCCGGCTCATCCAGAGCGACGCTTCGTCGGCCACTCTGCTCAGAGTCCGCGAAGCTAATTAAGTTGTGATCCTTTTGAAGCGTTAATTGCACACGTGTCAATTCAAATGAACGTGATGCTAGCTGCTGTCGGTTTGGAGTGCGAACCGCTCACGGTGGTGTTCGGGAACCTGGGGGACTTGGGGCAAACCACGATTATGTTCGTCGATGTCGAACTCGCATCGTTTTGCCCGGAGGAGTAAACTACAGAACGTTCGTCGATTTGAAAGCATCCATTTCCGACCTGCGAGGTTCACGCTTCAATTGTGTGAGGGGTAGGCTTCTTGTTCCGCTAGCGAGCAAGACCGAAAATGTTCAAGTGCTTCCCAGTGGACTGTTCCATCTGTCATTAATTTTTTGCCAGCCTAACGAAACAATTCCGGGGAACAGCGATATCGGTCTCGCTGTCGGCTCATTTGTCTCTCCGTTATAATATGCAGAGACAAGGCGACATGGGCTCTAATTAGGAGTTCCGTCGGAGCAGCAGGGAGGCGAATCAGTGAATATTTCCCTAATCAATGCCCCATGATTGAGGAAGGAACGGACGGAAGAAAATCCACTTCTGTCGATCGCGCTCCGAGGTCTTTGCGGACGGTGCACAAATGTACCCCGTCTGGTGTTTGCGAGGTGACGCTGACGTCACCCGAACTTCCGGGTTCTCGGGTCCCGCATCAGCAGCGCAGTGGACAGTCTCCTGAAATGTCCTGAGCTACCGAATGAGGGCACGCTTCCCGAGCCTTGATTGTTCGGTCGCACAAGCGTGGTTTATTTTGAGTTCTCCCT